TTGGAATAAAAAAAAAGAAGAAGGGGAATCCCTGAAGAAAGGAGTGAGAAAGGCTCTCAGGCAAGTCCCAAAGTGGAGGCAAGCCCTTAGCCAAGGGCTCCTCTCCTCACCAGAGGGTGGAGGATGGCAGGGCGTCACGTACAAGCGCTGAAACAAAAACGTTGCGACGTCAAATGCAATTACACGAGCTCTGGGCGAGAGGTACAGAACGCGCGGATGCTGTGCTAGGTTAGAGAGAATAGGAAAAGATAAAGACAGATATATACATAGGTATAGAGATATAGAGCTAGTGGTAATGTGGAAGTGAGGGCGAACGAACCCATGGAGATGGCGAGAGTACGTATAACCACTAGGTAAAAGGGAACGAATGAGAATTGCACGGAAAAACGAGAGGACAAATGAAAATTGAGAAAACCAGAAATGTCTGATACCGATAAGAGAAATATATTAATAAAATTTTAATTTAATTTTAATTTACAGCAAATTTTACAGCTTTTAATTAACAGCAAAACGTAAATAAAAAAATAATGTATTAAAATTGTTGTTCTCACGAGAAAAATTATATTTTTAATTTGCAGGATAAAAAATTTGAAATGTCTGCTAAACAATTGATTGTTAATCAATTATTCACTGAGATCCTTCGGCGAATTTTCACCTTTGTAAATCGACTTTAATCGTATATTTGATAATTTTTTAATGATTCGAGTGCACAGTATTTTTTTTTCTCGTTTATTTTTAATTTTTATAACAACGAGACTTTTAACGTTGCCTTGATTGTACGTCGGTTCTCCTCAACTTTCATTTCACTCTCTCGTCGCCCTCACACCCCTCATCCCCATCCTCTCACCCTTCTGGCCATTAAAAAGTTGTTAAACGCAGCCTGACGGCGCCCCCGCGGCAAATTGGAACCCCATCATAAGTCTTCCTCCCAGGTAACCCTCCTCTTCGTGTATATAGATGGGTTATGTAAAACGAGGGGATGGGGGGGAAGAAGAAGGAGTCATTTTGGATCTTTTACGGAAGGAGATTGCACGGAGGTGTAATCAATTTTTTCGGGCTGAGTTGGGGCTAAATATTTATCAGCCAAGTTATCCGATTATTTCACCTTTCTTCCGCATTTTATTCGCACTTGCCCTTTTATTCATAAATCCATTAATGGATGAAATTCTATATTTCAATTATCAACTGGTATTTTTTTATCTATATAAAATAAAGAATGGAGCTGATAAAAATAATTTGAGAATGTATGTGAAATATATATAAAAAAATATATAATT